ACTTTATTTTAGCTGCTCCGCACTGTCGTAGTGCAAGTTTTTTTCCTCCTCCGCTGAAATAAATTGCAATTAGGATTTCGCCGTATTCGCGCGGTTCAACTATCCGTGAAATTATGATGAACTGACGCACCTACACTTCGTCGAATTTAATTTGTTTGTATGGACCATTGTTGCCAAGTTCTGAGAGCAAGTAGCATGTATATTACTGTGAGGTAAGGTTGTAAGAGGTCGATTTTGAGGATATCTCGCAACCTTTCTCTTTGGGAGACGGAAGTCGGTTGCAAAGTTACGTGCAAAGGTGAATGACACTTCATTTTCAGAATCGCACAACTTCATTCAGATGCTGTTGACCTAAAAAAATTTAGTTGGCGGAGTCTGTTTTGTATGGTTCCAATGATAACGATTCCGTGACTTGTTATGAAATTCGCGGAACTGGCAAGTGAGTCTCCGATGAATTTTACATCAAAGTGGAAATATGAAGTTCTCGGAAGAATCTGTGATTTGTGATCCCGCAATTTGTTTCAGAAAATTTTGCGAGAAATACAATTATACCGCTGGTTTTGACCAGTATCAATTCGTGAGCCAGAGCATAGCTCCCAAACACGGAGAAAAACCTACGGTTGTATAAACCAATCAGTGGTTCATATGGAACACCACTAATAGTCGTTATTGAACTAATGATTCTCGGTTTGTGAATCATACTAAGGTGTCTCGCTGTCTCGTACCATACTAAGGTATGTATACCATCACTAAGGTATATAAGCTATTGTTATACATTGCCTTTACTAATATTTGTGGTGTTCCATATGTAGGTGTCTTGTACCATACTAAGGTATGTATACCATCACTGAGGTATATAAGCTATTGTTATACATTGCTTTTACTAATATTTGTGGTGTTCCATATGAGCCACTAGTTGGTTTATAAGCCATAGCTTTTTCGCAGTGAACATCTTTAAAAATAATAATATTTTATTTTCATATTTTTGTATTCTAATTTTAATCCTATCCCCCTACCAGTTTTCCCACCTACTGGTAAACCACCAACTCGTATCATATTCCTTTGCGTGATATTCTATTTTTACTTTTTGGTAAGTGTATTGTAGCCAAGTGCTAGAAATAATTTGACATTTTTTGGGGGGAAAACTTACATTTTATTAATGAAATTTGGCCGAAGCTTTTCGAAACAAGCGCTTTATCAAATCATCAAAGCTTCGGTCAAATTTTATTAATAAAATGTAAAAAAAATGTTACTTTATTTCTAGCACTTAGCTACACTACACATACCAATATACTCAGTGCCATTACCTTTTAGACATTGTGTAATACAATGTTCGCTGAACTTGTTTTATTCTTTAATTGTTCTTCTTTTTTAAAAAAAAAAACCAAAAAACAACAACAACGCTGAAATCTCAATCCTTTATTGCGTATAACGGGTGGAAGCTCAACTTGAATGAATGCTTCAGATCCTGCCGGAAACTCAACCCCAAGCCCGCATGGGGAAGCCCTTGAGGGACGTGGGACAGCAAGCCATCGAACATATTCGCATCTGAGATAAGTGTCGACATAAACACCCCATTGACGAGATTAATCACACACGCACACCCGAGTAAATACATTGCCAGCGCACTCACACGATGGCAGCACGTAATCCCCGCATAGTAGCCAATCGACCATATTTGAACTGATCGAATGACACGCAGCTCCCATTTTTCAGCCTAGTTGAGACGTATTTTCGAACTATCGGAAGTTTTCTGTACATGAGCTGAGTTTCTACAGCCATAATAGAATTTACATCAGCGAAAAACAAATTATCTGAATTTCAAAAGAAAATTTGCAATTTTGCTTGAAGAATTAAATAAATTGTCGTAGGTGAAACTTTACAACATTTCAGTAAAATTAAGCCTTTCCAATTCTAACCACTTCAAATGGTAGGATTTTGAACTGAGAGCATTCCGCTAGCAATCAGCAAATCTTTCATATATTCTACTAACTGTCAGATAATAAGATGGTAGAAAAGTACTAATTTCAAACCATTCTAAAGGAAATCAAGCCCGAAATACTGAAAATTAGAATCAAAGCTACGAAATAAACTCCAATGAGTTCCAGTGCAAGGTTACAGAGAGAGACTGCTCTTAATGGAGGAAAATCTTTGCCCATGGGACCCGAAGTTCAGGTCATAATTAACTGGTATCATATCATGGACCACTCCACTGTTACTGTTAAAGGCGCTCTGAGCAACTATTCCACCCCAGAGGTATTGCACAGTATCGGACGAAATTGAAGGCGCACTAACGTACGTAAATTGACCGGTATCGTTTACCACTGTGTAAAGGCCCACTCATCGTCGAATATTGTATGCGGCTATCTTAGACCCATTGTTACGACTCGTCGATTCTAAATCACGTGTACGATTTAGTTTTTGTATAAATTACTCATTTTTGTGGAATAGCTCTCATTTATGAACATTCTTGGCCATCATAATTTGAAACTAGAATCTGAAGATTGGCAGTGACATTTTTTGTGTTAGGAGGTTGGCTGCCTTTTTTTCTAGCTCCATCTTTCGTCATGTTCGCACTCTTCCTAGATTGGTACTTCTTACTCGGGTATCTTCCAACCAGAGACAAGAGAGCCTCCACTGGTATCTTGGCAATGGGGGAAGTTTTTACTTTCGGGACGTCAGCATTCAATTGTTGACCTACCTAATGGAGATGTTGCATGTGTGAGGAATTTGCGATTTGACTGCTGATTCTTTTGTAAAAGTTCGCGATAAACACGATGGTGCCACTGGTTTTCTCGGAAATTAACTCCCAAGCTCAAAAAAAGCTCTCAAGTTGAGACCAAAATGGAGGGGATCTCCCACGCTATCCGGAGAGTCTCCCTCTGCATCAAGACAAACTCTCTATACAAAGATAGGGAGAAAGTACATTGACAGGGCTGCCACTTTATTTGGGGACTCTAAGACTGATAACACGGCAACCCTGCTAATGTATTTGATCCCTTATTTTTGCATGGAGAGTTTGTCTTGATGTAGCCGTGCGGACTCTCAAAATAGCGTCGGATATCCCCTCCATTTCGGCCTCAACTTGAGAGCTTTTTTTGAGCTTGGGAGTTGATTTCAGAGAAAACAGTGGCACCATCGCGTTTCTCGCGAACTTTTACATAAGAATCATCAGTCAAACCGCAAATTCCTCACACATGCAACATGTCCATTGTCCACACGGACGTGTTGAGTCCCCGATTGTAAAAGCTTTCACCTGTCGCGAAAAGGCCAGAGGAGGTTCTCTTGTCTTTGGCTCCGATCGATCTTCAGAGCGTTTGCACTCCGACCAGATGCGCTGTGGATTTCCGACGCGGGTAACGCAAAACACGTAAGCGACCGCTATAATTTCACCGTTTTAGTAGCCGCGTAATAAACGGGTAGACTAGTGTTGCCATCGTTTACCGAGATCGTAAAGTTCGCCCGTGAACCGGCGGCGGCGGTCAGTTCGCACAGCGGGGTCGCTCGCAATTTCCACCCTGTAAAAAGGGACGAACGCATAAAGTCGAGTGATAAAAAATTCGCGAAAGTACGCGTCGCACAGTGGATCGAGCCAATCGGAGAGGTCGGACAAAATTCGGAAACTTTGAAAGCTTATAACTTCGTGCACACAAAACTTTGAGATTTTAATAGTGGTTCCGGTGGTTTTCTCGTGAATTTTTCTTCTAGAGGCACCCCTTAAAATATAAAATGTGACGAATGAAACATCGAAATTTGAAGTTTTAGTCACAAATTTCACGTCCGATCTCTTTGATTGACTCGATCCACTGTACGTCGTCGGTTATGTGTGATGGGTAATAAGCGAGTGCCAGACGCTTGAGGGTTTCCTCGAGTTTTTCACCGAAACCAGTGGCGTGGCGTGACTTGCGATCTATCGATTGTTATGTCATTTAAACCTGTGGTAAAGAATCGATTATTAAGGTGTTCGCTGCGAACACCCTGTTTATCGATCCTTTTCCATAGGTTTAAATGGCATAACAATCGATATATCGCAAAGCACGCCATGCCACTGCCCGAAACCTCCAGGAATACTGCCGTGCTAAGGAGGAACGTCGTATGAACCTTAAGGCGTTGTCATTATTCCTTCAGCACAAAACGAATTCACTTGGAAAATTTTAAATATTTGTATTCGAATTTTTCAAAGAATTTTGCTTACAATTTGTTCTAAAATATCCGAAAATGTCAAGGGAAAATATGCATAATTTTTCTCAAATTTTACTACTGTACCCGAAGAAAATTAAAATTGGCAACTCTCGAATGCTCATACAGGGTTTATCCATAGCACGGCAGTAGGAGACATCATCGCGCTCCTAAAATCCAGTTGATTGCGAAAAGGTACGCCCCCTAAACGGCAAGCGGTACCGAATGGGTGTGTCGCGTCTTTTTTTTATTTGCTCTTAAAGGAACTGTAAAAAATACAATTTCCAAGGGAAAAGTGAAGGGAAGAAAGTATCTTTATTATTATTTTTTTGCGTTTGCCTTATACATGAGGAAAGAAACCGATACACTGGAAAAAGTTACGGGCTACGGTTAAGGTTAGCTTATCCAAACATATTTCTCGTGCCACTGTTTTTGATCAAGTCAATGTGTTCTACAATAAAAATTACATCTACAATCAAGATTCAAAGAATCATGTTATTGATTCATTCAAAAACATCGAGTATTTGTATACTGGAAACGAATTCAATGGAAAAGCTTCAGATGTCACTCAAGCTAAAACATATTACGCGCATCGAGTTCTCGTAGTTTCAGGTGGAAAGTAATTTTTCTTTGAACGCTTGGACCGTCACCTCCTTTTCTAGTAAGAGGCTCTTAGTTAACTTATCCTATCGATGTAAGTGCGGTCTGATTCCGAGTAATCTAGAACTTCAGCTCAAGGGTCACTCGTCAAATCCGCTCTCAAGATGCCTGTGACAAGTGGCAAACTCGAAGCTACAAATATTATTATCCTATTATTTAAAGAGCCATGTAGTGGGACGAGATTTGCCATGTCAATGTGTCAATGTTGAGCTCCGTCGTTTGATAGTTTGTGCAGAAAATCGGAAAATCGCGGAACAAAATAGAGTGGTCGTTTTTATCATGCTCCGTCATTTATTTTCTCGTGCAGAAAAAAACTCCGAAATAGACCATTTTTCAAAGTTCGAGCTTTGATATGAATTTTTTTGTGCGCATAAAGAAGGAGAATACATAGTTTTGAGATTCGTCGAATAATTCTTATAGTGATATTGAATAGAAAACAAAGTAGACTGATTTCTTAATGTTGGACATCTTGAAGTGTACTTTTACGCAAGAGAATAAAAAATAGACTATTTTTCCTGTTTCGAGCTGGTTTGTGTATTTCATCGTTCCGGAAAAAAAACTGACTGATTTCCTCCGTGCGGGAAAAAATAGACTGATTTCCTCCATGTGGCAAAAAATAGACTGATTTCCTCCGTGCGGCAAATAGACTAATTTCTCGGTGTCGGACATCTTGAAGTGCAACTCCACGCAAAAAAGTAAAATATAGCATTTATATCCAGTTTCGAGCCGGCTTGAGTATTTCATCGTTCCGAAAAAAAAAACATAAACCGATTTCCTCCGTGTGGCAAAAATAGACCGATTTCCTCAGTGCGGCAAATAGACTATTTCTCAACATTAAACATTTTAAAGTGCAACTCCACGCAAGAGAGTAAAAAATAGAATTTTTATCCAGTTTCGAGCTGACTTGTGTATTTCATCGTTCGCAAAAAAGAAAAATAGACTTATTTCTCCGTGCATTGAAATAAAAAAAGGCAATAGTGTACTTTCCGGAAAATACACTGAAAACTGCCCAGTCCAGTTTTTGCCCAAGCAAGAGAGTAAAAACATGTTTCCAGTTTCGAGCTGGCTTGCGTATTTCATCGTTCGGGAAAACCAAAAATAGTCTGATCTCCTTCGTGCGGCAAAATTGAAAAAAAAAAAACAAAAAAAAACAACAGTTTAAAATCTTCCTAAAATACACTAGAAACAGTCCAGTCCAATTTTGCCTTTTACCTTGTCAAGAAGAGTGCGTTATTTCAACCATGACCCCGCCACCTCACCTCAGTCTCTTTCCGGCGATTCTCACGATGCTGACCTCCGTTTCCGGTTTCCTCGACTTCTACGGCCACGGAACTCACAACCTCTCCATCCTCACTAGCCTAACGAGCGACGACGCTCTCTACCTAACCCCCTACATCGAAAAAGGCCAGATCGAGAAAGGCCAAAGCCTTTCCGTCGTTCCTCCGATGCTCAAGAACATCGAAAGCTTCTCCGGATACCTGACCGTCAACAAGGACTACGACTCGAACCTCTTCTTCTGGATGTTCAAGAGCCAACACGGCGACTGGACCAAGCGACCGACAGTCTTGTGGCTCCAGGGCGGTCCCGGCGTTAGCTCCCTCTTCGGCCTCTTTACAGAACTGGGTCCCTTCTCGGTCAACGCGAAACAGGAACTGAAAAGGCGGAAGTACTCCTGGAACCGGGAGTACAACCTCTTGTTCTTCGATCAACCCGTCGGGACCGGTTTCAGCTTCACGAAGAACGACCGGGGTTTTGCCAGGGATGAAACCGCCGTCGCGAGAGACCTTTACGAGGCTCTGGTCCAACTCCATAAGCTCTTTCCTTCTCTCCAGAAGAACAAATTTATAATCTCCGGCGAATCCTACGCCGGGAAGTACATACCGGCCATCGGGTATAAGATCCACCAGGAGAACCCAAAAGCCACCATCAAGATCGACCTGAGTGGCCTTATGATCGGTAACGGGTTCACCAGCCCCGGTGATATGATGCACTACAGCTCGTATTTGTATCAACTCGGATTGGTCGACGAGCAACTACGGGCTAAACTCCAGAATATCGAGGAGGACATACGGACGCACATCAAGGCTGATCGATACAACGACGCTGCGGACTTATTGAACATGGAGTTTGATGTGATTTTGAAGAAGACACGCCTGAGGAATCCTTACGATTTTACGGAGAATACGATGTTCGACGATTGGTCAATAGTAAAGTTCGTTGAGGGTGAAAAAACTAGGAAGGCCCTTCATGTTGGGAACAACGAGTTTAACGGTTACACTAAACCGTATGTGTTTTTGTGGAACGACCTGATGAGGTCGGTGAAACCGTGGGTGGAGGAACTCCTCGCGGCGGAGGTGTTTCCGATTATGTTCTTCAGTGGTCAACTGGATGTCATCGTCGCGTACCCTTTGAGTTTGGCGTTCTTCGAATCGTTGCAATGGCCGCGGGCCTTTGAGTATCGAAAGGCTGAGAGGTGTTATTTCATGGTCGGGAATGACGTCGCTGGGTATTTCAAGACGGCGGGGACGTTCACGGAGGTTTTGGTGAGAAACGCGGGGCATATGGTGCCCACAGCCCAGCCGAAGTGGGCCTTTGAGCTTTTGGATAGATTCGTCAGCAATAGCTCGTCGTTTACGTGTTGAGATTTTTTGGACGCGCGGACGTTTCGAGCGGATGAAGTCCCGCCTTTGGAAACCGACGAAATGACGCGAAAGTGCGAGGGATATTTTACGTTGTGTGAAGAAAAATTTTGACCGAATTTATCAGATAGGAACCAACCCACATCTTCGAAAAATTGATTCAAGAATGTTTTTGAGATCCGCTGAACTCCTGCCAAAAACTCAAAGTCAAAACAGAAAGTTAGTCAGCGAAAAAGTTTTAATTTAATTGAGACTCATGGAGGGATGAAACTTCAAGCCTCTTTTTTCTCAGTTTCAACTTTATGTGGGTTGGTTTCTTTCTGTTAAAATCGGTCCATTTGGTTTATAGCCATTGGTTTTTGACAATTGTGGATTCCCTAGATTTAATGATATTTTTACCTCTATATTGGTGATCGATGTACATATAAACAAAAAATACAAAGCATGCTTTTAAAAACAATTTTCCCCTATTATGAAGTTGTTTGATTGAAATTTTTTATTACTAAGCGCTGTGTTCAAAAGCTATTTTTGCACCCAATTTTCGGAAATTAAAATAAATAGTGGTCTGGATGAACAGTCGCTTCTTCATATTATTTCTTTTTTTTAGAGCATAGTTGTCTATTTAGTAGAAGAATTTTGACTATGGCTAGTCTTTGGGAGCTGAATTTGCAATAATTATATATCTAACAAGTTCTACACAATAGAAGATAATAGTGAAAATAGCCTCGATGGTAACCTTGAGGAGATTGAATGTTTTTTGTTCCAAAATTTTTGCGGGTGTGGCCAAATTGCTTTTTATAGCGGCAATGAACCAATAGAGAAGGTACGAAATTAAACATTCTAATATATGTTCTCTAACTATAATTTCACTTAAAAGACGGTTCGCGCAACAAAAGTTACTGGAATTAGTTCCTAACCAAGATATTGCATGTTTTTGACGCGTGAATTCAAGGATCCCGCTTATGAAAACGCAAAAGTCTACTTGTAAGTCAAATCGTACATTAAACGTTATCGTGGCAGTCCCTGTGATACGAAAATATGGCAACCTTAATCTTGACGCTTTGGCTCAGCTATAGCAAATTGTTTCCACTTTTAACAACAGAGAGTGGGGAAGGAACAATGCTCGATTGAGAAGCCTGCCAACACCGTTGTAATGCGTGATTTAACTCACGAAGAGTATTGCGTTTCTTGTGACCGGACAATTTTTGCCCGTGACCAATGTGAAATAAAAACGTTGATATCTGAGTTAGGAGTTGATTCCAGTAATTTTTGATGCAAGAATCATGTTCTACGTAAAATTTTGATTTAGAAACATGTATCAAAATGCTTAAAGTACCTTGCCTAGTGGTCCAATATGAGTTCCACGCCAACCAGCGACCGCACCGTGTTTGGAGCAATGCGTGTAGTATTTCTACAGTCTTGTAGGCGCTATATTCTTTTGCGCGCCGATCAGCAATTGCACTGTGTTTGGCGCAATGCGTGAAGTATTCCTGCTTAAATGCTAGGCCTGCTTAGGCGCTAAAATGTATATAAAGGTACTTTAGTTATCACTGATGATAGGCTTTGCCCTAAAGGTGTCTCTGATGCTAATTGATTAACTTTTTTGACTATATTTATAGTATTCAAGGTAAAGTCAAGGCAATTTTCTTTATTTACATCATAGGTAGTCGTTAGTGGGCGGTGTGGGGGTCCCTAAAATATTTCGTCTCCGAGAGGAATGCAGGACGATTTTCCCGACGGTTTATATTAACCAAGCCAGCAACGCCGTACAGTGGATCGAGTCAATCAGAGAGGTCAAACATGAAATTTTTGAACAAAACCGCAAATTTTGATGTTTAATTCGTCACATTTTAAAGTTTAAGGGGTGTTTCCAGAAGAAAATTTCACGAGGAAACCAATGGAACAACTTTCAGAACCTCAAAGTTTTATATGGCCGGAGTTATAAGCGTTTAAAGTTTCGCCATTTTGTCCGACCTCTCCTATCGGCTCGATCCACTGTGCGCCGCGGTAGGAGCCACAACTTCCGATGCCTGCTCCCACGCCGGAAGGAACGTGGAAAGGATTTTATTTTATAGACCGCTTACCCTCTTGCCCAACCGCTTTCCACACCCGCATTCGAATATTCTAGTGGTATTTTTCCCCCGAAGAGACTCCTCTTCGCATACCTATTCTGGTCCTTATCGCATTCTGGAGAACCCTCCCACGTTTACCTGGGGTTTGGAGTATTGCCCTGTGAAGGAAGAACGCTATATCGACATGGATTTGTTGCCAACTTTCTGCTGATAAAAATCGGATTTTCTTGATATTTTTAGCAAGTTTATCACAGATTTTTTTAGATAATTATAATCAAAATTTATGCAGCGGAAATGTTAAGGTGCTCAATGTCCCAAGATTTGTGGTTTGAAAGAGAGCAGTGGAGGTTAGGAGTAGTAGAGCGCGAGAAAGTGCTGTAAAGCGACTTATATGTGTGTATAATCAAAATTTAATGTAATGGGTTCTAAAGTTCGAAAGAATAACAAACGGGGAAGTTCTAATATGCGTTCGTACTAGAGATATTAGAGAAGCGCTCACACAGAGATCAATTTCAACACAAAAGTTTGGTCAATACGGGACGTAAAACACAAACTATCCCCAGCCCTTGATTGACAAATGCTATAGCTAGTTTTCTGGAAGAAATTGTATAAAACACAAGTGGTGACTACCAACGTCAAAATTGGAGGAATGCATTTGCCCAGTCCCTCCGTTGTTTTCTGCGTTAAATTCATCGCAAACTGTACCCAAATCTACACAAAATTTGCGTTGGTTTGTGTTTTACTTCCTATACTAACCAAAATTAACACAAGAACACAAATATTTTTATCAGTGCAGATATTTTCTAATTTGGCGTGTTTATAAGTTCCCCGAAGAAGATAAGCGCATCCTTGAGATGAAAGAAGTCGCTCACCAAAATTTCAACTATCAATTTTTAGAAAACTACACTACCGCTGAAAAAAAATATAGCAAAACGATCACTGTCCTCCGTGCATTGACATCAGAAGCATTGAATAAAGGTATCACAGATTCTAAATATGTGAGGCCCCTATCTGCCATCTTGTCGTTGAGTTGCACTGGAAAAAAAAACCACATTGGATCTAGAGTCCAGACTCTTGAAAACATTGACAAGAAGAAAAACTCTTGGTTCGATCAGATTTAAGCGTAAATCAAAAGGAAATCCGCTCAAATTAAGAGGCTTGGCTCTTGATTTAAGCTCAAATCTGATTCAATCAAGAGTATTTTTTCTTGTCGATGTTTTTAAGAATCTGGACTCTAGATCCAATGTGTTTTTTTTCCAGTGCTTAGTGTTCAAAATTAGTCTCAAAAATATATCTTTTATAGGAAGAAATTTGGCAGTTTTCGAATAAATATCCGGCGTTTTTCCAAAGCAAGGGAAAGCGGTTGAATATCGAAAGAGGAACGTTGGGAATTCAAGGCTCGAAACTTGACTTGCAAATATCGCGAATCCGTTCGCAATTGCCTCGCAGAGTGCAATTTCTCGAGTGGAGAGTTGCTCTCTTTTTCATCGGGAGGGTTATGGAGAATTGAATACGTTCATCGCTTTGTCAATGCGCTCATCGTGGTTCTTGAAAGAGGCAATTCTCTTTTTCAGCTTTAACAAAAAGAGCAATATCTCTGATAGTATTAAAGGCTGAAAATTGGCATGAGAATCTGCTTTTTTTTTGGTAATCCATCTTTTTTAAAAATCAAATCACGGGAAATGGATCACTAGACAAGGTACGAATTTGAGCATTCTGATACATGTTTCTTAATCAGAATTCCATGTGGATTAGAATTCTTGCATCAAAAAGTTGAAATGAACTCCAACAAAAAAAAGTTTAACTCATCGCTTTGTCAATGCACTCATCGTGGTTCTTGAAAGAGGCGATTCTCTTTTTCAGCCTTAACAAAAAGAGCAACATCTCTGATAGTATTATAGGCTGAAAATTGGCATTAGACTCTGCTTATTTTTTAGTAATCTCTCCTTTTTAACAATCAAATCACTGAAAATGGATCACTAGACAAGGTACGAATTTAAGCATTCTGATACGTGTTTCTTAATCAAAATTCCACGTAGAACACATTGGAGATGTTGCATGTGTAAGGAATTTGCAATTTATTTATTGATTCTTTTATAAAAGTTCGCGAGAAACACGATGAAGCCACTGGTTTTCTCTGAAATCAACTCCGAAGCTCAAAAAAATCTCTCAAGTTGAGGCCAAAATGGAGGGGATATCCCACGCTACCCTGAGGGTCCACCTCTACATCAAGACAAACTCTCCGTGCAAAGATAGGGAGCAAATACATTAGCAGGGTTGACGTGTTTTCAGTTTTCTAGTCCTTAAATAAAGCGGCAGCCCTGCCAATGTATTTGCTCCCTATCTTTGCATGGAGAGTTTGTCTTGATGTAGAGGTGGACTCTCAGAATAGCGTTGGATATCCCCTCCATTTTGGTCTCAACTTGAGAGCTTTTTTTGAGCTTGGGAGTTGATTTCAGAGAACACCAGTGGCACCATCGTGTTTCTCGCGAACTTTTACGTAAGAATCAACAGTCAAATTGCAAATTCCTTACACATGCTACATCTCCATTCTTGCATCAAAAAGTTGAAATAAACTCCAACAAAAAAATTTGAATTGCCCGATGCCCGGTCACAAGCAACACAATACTCTAACTTGAGTCAAATCGGCTTTGGCAGACTTTTCAATAAAACATTGTTCATTTCCAACCCTATCTGGACCCAACGCCTCCATTTTCCCTCCCTCCCCCCCCCCGAAAATTTTTCCGGTATCCAACAGCTTTTGCCCCTTTCCAAATTTAGCAAAAATCCCCCCTCACCTCTAACCGACAACTTCCCCTTAGCCTCGTCGTCTCGAGCCCCGAAATTGCATCACTGACCATGGCACATCCCCTGGTGGGGGTGGGAGGGGGGCGAAGACCACGCGAAAGAGGTGCGTCGACCGCAACGGGTGCCGCGGATCCTCGGGGAAGTGGCAATTAATACAACTCCCCCTAGCCGGAGTCCACACAGGAGCTGAACCAGCGGCTCTGCGATATATCGATTGCTCTGCCGTTTAGACCCGTGGAAAAGGATCGATGGACAAATTGTTTGCAGCGAACACCTTAATGATCGATTCTTTACCGTAGCTTCAAATGGGAAAGTATCGATAGTCGATCATTCACGCCTCGCGGGGGTCCGGTCTGGCCGTCCGCAGCCCGCTTGCCTCTTTCACCCCTTTGAAGAGCGGAATGCCACCGGCCGACACCCCTGCGCTTCGCGGTCGTTCGAGCGGAAAACTGCAATTAAACCTGTTCAACGGAGCCATCCTCGTTGCCGGCTTTCATTGGATTAATCTAACTTCCGGGGTCACTAAACCATGATCGAATTTTGACTTGCGAATACCAATGGACCACTAGATAAGGTACGAATTTCAGCATTCT